ACACTGACGTTGACATGGGCAGTAACATCGACAGTGACATCAGCATTCACGTTGGCGATGACGAGGTCAGTAACATCGACGGTGACATCGGCAGTCACACTAGCGCTGACGACGGCAGTTACATCGACAGTTACATAGAAATTCAGATTGAGGATGACACTGACGTTTAAATGGGGCGTAGCGTCCACAGTGACATCGGCATTCACATTGGCGATAACGAGGGCAGTAACGTCGACAGTGACATCGGCAGTCACACTAGCGCTGACGAGGGCAGTATCATCGACAGTGACATCGTCATTCTCATTGTCGATGACTAGGGCAGGAACATCGACAGAGACATCGACATTCACATTGCACATTAGCGCTGACGAGGGCAGTATCATCGACAGTGACATCGTCATTCTCATTGTCGATGACTAGGGCAGGAACATCGACAGAGACATCGACATTCACATTGCACATTAGCGCTGACGAGGGCAGTATCATCGACAGTGACATCGTCATTCTCATTGTCGATGACTAGGGCAGGAACATCGACAGAGACATCGACATTCACATTGCACATTAGCGCTGACGAGGGCAGTATCATCGACAGTGACATCGTCATTCTCATTGTCGATGACTAGGGCAGGAACATCGACAGAGACATCGACATTCACATTGCACATTAGCGCTGACGAGGGCAGTATCATCGACAGTGACATCGTCATTCTCATTGTCGATGACTAGGGCAGGAACATCGACAGAGACATCGACATTCACATTGCACATTAGCGCTGACGAGGGCAGTATCATCGACAGTGACATCGTCATTCTCATTGTCGATGACTAGGGCAGGAACATCGACAGAGACATCGACATTCACATTGCACATTAGCGCTGACGAGGGCAGTATCATCGACAGTGACATCGTCATTCTCATTGTCGATGACTAGGGCAGGAACATCGACAGAGACATCGACATTCACATTGCACATTAGCGCTGACGAGGGCAGTATCATCGACAGTGACATCGTCATTCTCATTGTCGATGACTAGGGCAGGAACATCGACAGAGACATCGACATTCACATTGCACATTAGCGCTGACGAGGGCAGTATCATCGACAGTGACATCGTCATTCTCATTGTCGATGACTAGGGCAGGAACATCGACAGAGACATCGACATTCACATTGCACATTAGCGCTGACGAGGGCAGTATCATCGACAGTGACATCGTCATTCTCATTGTCGATGACTAGGGCAGGAACATCGACAGAGACATCGACATTCACATTGATGATGACACTAAAGTTGACATGGGTGGTAACATCGATAGTGACATCAGCATTCACATTCGCGATGACATGAGCAGTAACGTCGACAGTGTCACCGGCATTCACATTGGCGTTGACCAGGGCAGTAACAGCGACAGTGACATCGGCACTCACATTAGCGCTGATGAGCAGTAACATCGACAGGGACAACGGCATTCACATTGCCAGTGTGAAGTAACGAGGGCAGTAACATCGACAGAGACATCGACATTCACATTGATGATGACACTAAAGTTGACATGGGTGGTAACATCGATAGTGACATCAGCATTCACATTCGCGATGACATGAGCAGTAACATCGACAGGGACAACGGCATTCACATTGGCAATGAGAAGTGCAGTAACGTCGTCAGTGATATCGGAATTCACATTGGCGATAACAAGTGCAGTATCGTCGACCGTGTCATCGGTATTCTCATTGGCGATGACCAGGGCAGTAACGTCGACAGTGGCAACGGCATTCACATTAGCGCTGATGAGGGCAGTAACATCGACAGAGACATCGACATTCACAATGATGATGACATGGGCAGTAACACCCACAGTGACAACGGCATTCTCATTGGCAGTGTGAAGTGCAGTAACGTCGACAGTGTCATCGGCATTCACTTTGGCGATGATATGGGCAGTAACATCAGGAACATCGACAGTGACATCGGCATTCACGTTGTCGATGACACTGACGTTGACATGGGGCGTAACATGGACAGTGACATCGGCATTCACGTTGTCGATGACACTGACGTTGACATGGGGCGTAACATGGACAGTGACATCGGCATTCACGTTGTCGATGACACTGACGTTGACATGGGGCGTAACATGGACAGTGACATCGGCATTCACGTTGTCGATGACACTGACGTTGACATGGGGCGTAACATGGACAGTGACATCGGCATTCACGTTGTCGATGACACTGACGTTGACATGGGGCGTAACATGGACAGTGACATCGGCATTCACGTTGTCGATGACACTGACGTTGACATGGGGCGTAACATGGACAGTGACATCGGCATTCACATTTGTGATGACTAGGGCAGTAACGTCGACCGTGTCATCGGTATTCTCATTGGCGATGACCAGGGCAGTATCGTCGACCGTGTCATCGGTATTCTCATTGGCGATGACCAGGGCAGAAACGTCGACAGTGAAATCGGCATTCACGTTGTCGATGACACTGACGTTGACATGGGCAGTAACATCGACCGTGACAACGGCATTCACATTGTTGAAGATAAGTGCAGTAATGTCGACAGTGACATCGGCATTCACATTGGGGATGACGAGGGCAGTCACATCGACAGAGACATCGACATTCACATTGATGATGACATGGGCAGTAACATCGACAGTGACAACGGCATTCACGTTGGCAGTGTGAAGTGCAGTAACGTCGACAGTGTCTTCGGCATTCACATTAGCGCTGACGAGGGCAGTAACATCGACAGAGACATCGACATTCACATTGATGATGACACTGTCGTTGACATGGGCAGTAACATCGACAGTGACATCGTCATTCACTTTGACGATGACATGGGCAGGAACATCGACAGAGACATCGACATTCACATTGATCATGACACTGATTTTGACATGGGCAGTAACATCGGCAGTGACATCGGCATACACTTTCGCGATGACATG